TACCCAATAAAGCACCTAATGATTAGTTCTTCAGCTTATACCTTATTTACTTGGCCCCCTTCCGGGGCTGGTTAGGATTTAACAGTCTCAGGCACGTATCTGCTAGAGCACCAGTTTGTTAACTGTTAAGCCACAGAAGGCTGGGCAAGGAGACCCTACTGCTCTCCCAACTGCTCTTGTCATTCAGCACCGTTCGTATCCGCTCCCTCCCCGCTCCCACAAGGATCTTCCCCGCCTGTTTCACCTGCAGGTTGAAACCAGGGGTTTCCAGGACAGGATGGATGTCTCAGCCCTTTCAGCGTGGAGTTCAGGAGAGCCAAAACAGCCTGTTGCCCCGAGGAGCCACCTTGCCTTCCCCATTGTACCTCCCCTGGGAGCTGTACAGCCCCCAGCTAGTCTCCTGCCCCCGCTGCCCCTTCACATCAACACTGACGTTAAATCAAAGAGACATTTAAAAAACACTGACTTCGTACATGATGAAGGGCCCTACACATCCCAGCCCCCTCCAGAAACACCCAGCTAATATGCAATCTGTCAAGAGGACGACAACATGCTGAGCCAGCACCCAGGCCACAGCCCTCAAAACACGGTGCACTTTTTGCCAGGCTTCTTCACGGGCGGCGGGCAGAGCACGGCCCGGATGGCTTCGTCAAACACCGTCTTCAAGCCCCGCTGCGTCAGGGCAGAGCACTCGAGGTACTTTACCGACCCTAGGGGGAAAGAGAGCTCCAGCTCAACCACTCCAGTCCTGCCAGCACATAACTGTCTCCCTCACCCACTCCAGAACAAAGAGCTCAATGCCACGGAGATCTGCCAGCACACGAGACTCACCAATCTCCCGAGCCATGGCCAAACCTTGGGGGTAGGTGATGGGGGCCAGTTTCTTATCACGTAACCTTTCAATGGTGTCCTTATCATCCCTCAAGTCCAGCTTGGTGCCCACCAGGATGATAGGTGTATTTGGGCAATGGTGTCGGACCTCAGGGTACCACTGAAACAGAGAGGCACAGTAAGAGAAGTAGCTATACCAGGAGATGCAACTATGAGGATGCATCTACGACTAGGAACAAGGTTTTTACTACTATCTGACATGGTGGCAACTTCTGCCTACAGTAATAACGAAGGCACTGAGACATGGAATCATGACAGACAGTGCCAGCCAACTCTGCACGCCCGTGCTTCCCTTAAGTGCTTTTTAGCTTCTAGAACTTCCCTTGTCTTATTTAAGATGCAGATTCAAAAAGGGAAAAACTTAGCCAAAGAAGTCATGAATAAAAAATAGGCCCCTCTGAAAACCTGCAGACTATGACTTTCCCTCATCAAAACATGACTTCTAGAAATTTTGGACTGTAGGTGTGGTGCTGGATGGGGCAGGGGACTTCACTGGCTCCTCCCTTCCACTTTTTCACCCAGAAGGAGAATACTTTACCTTGGCTCTGACATTTTCAAAGGAGGCTGGACTCACAAGGGAGAAGCAGATCAAGAAAACATCCTGTGCAGAAACAAGAGGGTCAGGCGTGTAAAAGGAAAAAACTATAGAGAGTATGGAGGGAGGGTGGGGAGGGATCTTATAGAGGACAACCTCCTCCCACAAGTAAGGACTGTGGCTCTAAGAAATTTGTCCCCATTAAGGGTGCTAAACTAATTCAGAGAGGGAAGGAATGGACTTTGAGTGTATGACCTCATCTTCTTTTACAGCCACAAATAGCATAACAATGCTGTGGGCTTCACCCGTGGTAGGGGGTCACGCAGGAATTGCTACAGGCAGGGAAACACCACTAGTGCAGCCCAACAGCGACCCGTCCCACCAAGAGAGAACAGGAACATTGAACGTGGCTCGGCTGCACAGCAGCCCCACACCATTCCTTTCACTCAAGCCTCCCTGTGGCACACGTAACTCTCCAAACACCATTACGAAGCAGGGACTACAACAGGACAATCTCTTTGGAGAAATTCAGCTGTGATACTTCTTACCAGAATTATAGCTACAGCTGCAGAAACTTGGATTTTCCTCAAAGGAGAGCCTGGCTGTCCTTGGGAGCCTCCCTGTCCCCAAGAGGGAGCAGTTATAAACCAGTCCCAGCCCAGACTCACCGTCTGTGGATAGGAAAGAGGCCGCAGTCGGTCATAATCCTCTTGTCCTGCTGTATCCCAGAGGCCTAGGTTCACTGGCTTTCCATCTACCATCACATTGGCAGAATAGTTATCAAACCTGCCAAGGAAGAGTCCCCATCAGTGACAATCTTGTTTTGACCCACACATCTCTCTACATAAAGTCCAAAGGGGCAGTGAATGAGGAGAGGACACTGCAATGCAGTTCCAGTGGGGACAGCCTGCCCTCTGTACACACACAGCCGTACCACCAGCATCCTCCTCGGGTGTGAGGTTTCCAGTCTTCTACAGCCTTCTCCACACCTACAAAACCAACTTTTACAGGTGCATACAGAGCAAAAAAGCAGCTGAAGGCCAGTACTCACACAGTGGGGATGTATTCTCCCGGAAAGGCATTTGTGGTGTAACTGATCAGCAAGCAGGTCTTCCCTACAGCTCTGCAGGGGGTAAGAGTGACAAGCATAAAGAAGGGTACAGCAGGAAGCACTGTAAAACTCACCCTTTCCCCACCCAAAAACCAGGCCAAATAAAAAGTTATCATGTGAGAAAACAAACCTGTAGCAGGTTAGATTTCTCTAACTGTTGGGGACCAGGCTTGAAGTGACAATGTGCACTTGCCTGGGCACTTACCCGACCCTGCTCTCTCCCACTCCTTTTCCCCACCCATTCACCCTCAGCAAAACACCAGGCAAAACATATTTTTTCCAGGAACCAGAAGAGAGGGAATAAATAGGGGTTCTCTATTGGGCTCAATACACCCGTAATAATCTAGCAAAATGGATAAACAGCGAGGTGAAAAAATATGCAACAACACAGACTTGTTCAAGCTCTTCAGATACAGGAATTCAATGCCAACAACTACAAAGGGGGAAAAAAAATAAGCATCCATAAAGAAAAATGAAGTTTAAAATTGACCACTGCTAGTTTGGAAAAAGATTTTTAGCACCAGTGCAGATCACTGAAATTATCAGCTCAAGAGCTCTGCTGAAGGCGGAGGGACTGGTCAGCCTGGGGGTGGCAGGTTAAGGGTATGAGCTTTAGTTCACCTGTAGGAGAAGGGGAAAGCCTACTTGTAGGGAAAGAGGAGTACGAAGAGCGCTAGGAGTATAAATCAACTATTTATCACTGTGAAAGCTGTAAACTGCAGAGAATCTTCCAGAGAAGCAGATTGTGGCAGGGACTGCTGTCTGTGAGGTGCCTGAGTTGAAGCTGAAGAGCCAACAGAGATGAGTCTCCTCTACCCAACTCTGTAACTGGAGGGACATGAGGAAACTCTTCAGGAGTATGAGAGAGCCCAGGGGAGCCGCAGTCCTGCACCAGGATGACACAAAAGCGCAGCGAGACACACTACAGTAAAGCACCCAGCTCTTCCCTGGGGTCCCCTCTCTTGGAGAACAGGGAGGTGTGTGAGGAACCACTACAGTGACCAGCTGGACCTTCCTCTTCAACCATGGCCTCTCTTCCACCAAACAAGGAAGTCGCACAATTCACAGCAAAACCACATATCTACAATTAAAGTGTTTTGGTACCCAAATTCATTTAGTCTTTGTACGGTCAACTTGGTCTTAAAGCAAAACACTGGACTTCCAAGCCTTCATCCGAAGCCCCTTTCCGACACGCTGTGCTCCCCATCGTTGCTCTCCCCTCTGCAATAAGGTAGTTTTGGTGGGTGGCTCTTTCTCCTGCTCCCCTCTTTGGCACCCACAGGGTGGAACCCAGGAGGCCTCACTCCAAATGTGCATTTTGAGGGGGTGGCATGAACAGAAGGTGGGAAAACCAGTCCCTGCCTAAGCCCAGTTCATGTTCAGTTCTCTGCACCTCAGCTCTGTGCTCGCTGTAGCCATCAGAAAAGCAAAGAGGAATTATGAGGTAAAATATGCAGGCCAAGCTTGGAAAAGTTATGAAGCACCATAAATCTCCTGCATGCCTGCATCTTGCATACAGATGTGTTCTCAGAAAAAAAAAAAAAAAGGCATATAGGGAAAGCCTAAAGAAAAGAACAAGAAGGATGACGAGAGGCACATGGTGAAATCAGTACCAGCAATGTATTTCACCTTAGGACGCAAACAACAAAAGGAGATACGAGAGAAACCTGCGAACATCAAGATTTTTTGGGTGGGCTTTGCCATGAATCACGCTCCTATGATGAAAATTAACCAAAACGCTGGCACCCAGTGACATAAAGAGGAGACGGGTGTAAAGCCCGGGAAGAGAAGGTGTTTGTGCTCCAGGAGCACGGCACTGGCTGCGGAGCCGAAGGGTGTGAAGAGACGGAGACCCGAAGTGATGAGGGGGAGCGCCGGGCCGGGCCGCGGCGAGGCCCCGATCTCCGGCCGGGCGCCCGCTTGGGCCAGGCCCCGCCGCCGGGCAGGGCCCAACGCCCCGGCTGCTGGCC